AGGAGGATGTTAGTGTTCACGTATGGACATGAGTGACAGTTCACATGCGCTTGCTTCACGTCTAATTAAAATCCACTCGAATGGCAGCCCCTTCCTGTGTTTATTTGGACCAGAGAATCCCTAATGAGTAATGACTTGAGCTACTTCACCAACAAAGTTTGTGCCTCCAAAAATATAAAAAATAATACAGCAATACACAGTAGGCCAAGCAAATGTTAGATACTCCTTGTATAGAGATTAGGACAGGATGTCATAAGATTTTACTAATAAGTAAAATCTGTCAAGATTAATCAAAATGTTTTACATTAAGTAAGCAAAAAATGTGGAGTGGATGCAACTTCTGGACCACTCCTGGTCAAAACACCAAACACACTATTGTCATATTACATTTGAGATTATTTTAACAATAACAACTCCATAATTGAAGGAAATTAGCTTCAGTATTCGCAAAACAAGTGTGAGCTTGTGACTTTCTTTATGGAAATATTTTACACATGGGCCTCACTAACAGCACACTCAATGTAAATGTTACGTTTTACTGCGGTCACAGGCCTTCTCATCTGGATTTACAAATGTTTGCATGACAGAGGGAAGTCATTAAAAGAGCAACATAAGAATAGAGTAAGAAAACCACTGCTGTGTTTGAGACCAGTGTTTGTCTTCTTTTATCCTATCTCAATTCAAATCCTGTAATGGAGAGGTCGATGGTCCATGATTAAGAAAAGACATTTTCAGCCAGAGCAGCTGGAGTCTCATGATGAAGGAACAGGGTCAATCCATGGAAAAGCAGCATTCCCACATTTCCATGTGTTCTTCCCATTTCCCCTTATTAGGAGCTGGTGGCACAGCTGCTCCGGGTCCAGACTGTGCACAGAGCTGCACTCGGACCAAGCTATTTCCAGGAATCCTAAAAATGCTTGCCAGTCACAACATCACCCACCAGTGTTCTCTGTTTTTTAAATCTTTTTTTCAGCCTCACTTTGAGGAATAGGACAATCTGGTATTATAACCCTGTGGATTTGTGAAACAGCCCATTCAAATTGGAATTATGTTGACTCTGATATGAAGAAAAAGATACAAGTAAAAAATGTAATGAGCCACTTCTCCTAGTGGAAACATGATCTGTCTTTTAGTTGATAATGAAACATAATTTTGCGTTTTCAATAAGCATCATGTGTATTTGTGAGATGAATTAAGATTTAAGGATTAAAAGGATGAGACGCATAATGAAGTCACTGATGGGGCCAGCCCTCCTCTCGATTTACAAAGTGTTTGTAAATCAAAATTACTGCATTAATTGTATCCAGAGGTTTGAAGTGGGTCTGCATCAAAACTCTTCCAAACAGAAGTGAAAGACTGTAATGTAATGCAATTATCATTAGCATTATCTGGCTCATTTACTATTAGCATAGTGTATGCATATATCCTTTATCAGGTGTTGAAAAGTGGGTGTCCTGAATGTGTAAGCCATATACTATTTTGATGCTGATTAAAAAGTGGACAAAACTCTGTAAATGTGGACCCATTCCCCAGAAAATCAAAGATGTGACCTCCTGATATGTGAACATAGACCTTGTGTATATTATCCTGTGTGAATACACAGAGCCCACTGAAGTGAAAGCTAAAGTCTGCAGTTTCCTTTGAAGAGTGTTAATTCTCTTAAGCTCAGCTCTTAACTCAGCCAATTGTCTGAGCTGAGGAGGTGTGAACGTGCTCTATTGTTCGAGTAAAACAACATTAAATGCAGCTGAGGTGAAACTGTCATTGTGAGGTGTGACCTGCATCAAATGGGCCACTCGTCACACTTCAGCAAAGACTGACTTATGAGAAATGAGACGGCAGTAGATCTACAAAATGTCTTACAAAGTTCCCATCAAACAGGGCTACGCAGATTGAGAATTACTCTACAAAATATAAATTCAAATGATATGAAAGAACAATATGTGAAGACCAATATGTGAAGAAAATGGTCTGAAGTGGTTAAGTTGTTGTTTTTTTTATTATTATTATTTTATTGTGCCATCATTGCAACAACCTATGACATGATATACTATATACACAAAAAGCCAGCCCACTCGAGTGTTATTTACTCCATAAGTGTTGGTGAGAAGAATACTTTGAAAATGTATTTAGTTAAAGAATACAGAATACCCTCATTAAAATGTATTTTGTAACATATTCTGATACATGGGCCAATCAGAGTACTGTATTCAGAATATTAGGATACTTTCATGCACACTCACTAATTAGAGAAGGAAAAATCACTTAAGAGCAATGTTTTCTATTTTTCTCACTAATATTGTGAGTTTTAACCCTAAATTGTGTGATCAAGTACTGCCATGTATTGTAGAAATGTAACTGTATTCTGAATACGATCAAATGAAAACATAACTGCACCAGAATACAGTTACTCAAAAGTTATTCTCTGTACATGTATTCAGTTACTTCCCAACACTGTCCATCAGTCAGTGACACATAATAGCCAGTGCACTGTGTCCAAACAGACAGGGAACATCTAAATTAGGGAGCCATGACAAAAGCATCTTGAGTGGCTTCCTTTCAGCCAGCACGCTAACGTCACAGGAAAGTGAGAATACAGAAAGCCCCTGCGGCCAGCGAAGCAGTTGGGTGGGACCAGTGCTGAACCAAAGCCTGGAGAGGAGAGGGGGGAGCGGCTGTGATGGAGCAGTGGCCCACTGTGAGAAGAAGAACCAGTGAGCAGTCCTGCTGTCCGAGTCTTTGTGTGTTAACTAATGAGGGGGTCCTGCAGGGAGCTGTCACAGTGACCTGGTGGGGGGCTAAGTGCCACTGGGCTCCAGAGAGAGAGGGAAGGAGCAAACACTGACTGTGGGGGTCAGGTACGATGAGAGGACAACTGGAAATCACTTAAAAAAGACACATTTAAACCAAAGCAGCAAGTGCTATGACATGTAGCTACAACTCAATATGATGTTTGGTGAATAAAGGTTAAAAGGGTTTGGCTACTGAAGATGACAAGAAGATCTTAGCGTTTAAGTCTCTGATGAGCTGTAAAATGGTGAAACTATTTTTTTTAATTTTTTAAATATTTTTTGTTTTTGTTTTATAAAAATAATGAATCTGAAGTAAATTATGTTTTATTACTGTGACAACATACAAAATAATGTAGAGCTGTCAAAAGTTTTTATATAATATTAAAACTAGTGTCAAAAAGAAGTTTTCCATTTTTACCATCATTTAAAAAAACAAAAACAAAACAAAACTTGACTTTTCCTTAAAAGTCTTAGAATGATCTTGCTCTACATCAGAACTAGAATGAGACAGCATGGTAATTAACAAAGTACTATTATATTAGCTTGCAAGTTCAATTCTATTTTCATTGTTGTATTGATTGATATTGTATATGGATATTGAGTTTGAAATGTCATGACATGACAGTCATGACAACACTAACTGTAACCATGACATATACGCAGGAATATCCTGTAGCTTATACAGTAAACGCCTTTATCTCTCCCAGTGGGACATGATGGCTACACTGATCATTCTGGGACGTCACTGTTAGTCACCCTCTCATGTGTCACCCAGCACCCGTGACTTCATCTGTTTCTCAAGGATATCCCGCTCCTTTCGAGGCACAATGAGCCTCTTCCTGTTTAGAGCAGGACCGGCCTTCCATCACGAACTTGGTTTTACGTAATTTCCCCTCGTCCTGCCTCCCGCTATTGTCACCACACAGCACTGCTTCAGGGAGCAGCTTTCAGTTAAGTCATTATGTCACTTATATGGACATTTCAGTGCTGAAATCGGGAGTAATGAAAAGGCAGACATTAATATATGTATAATATATATTTGCGATGACAGTTCAGAAAGCCAACAGTGTGAAAAGACATTTAGACAGCAGGAGCTGTTTGGGTAATTCTACATATCAAGTCCCTGATGGCTGAAAAAGAAATTATATTGCCAATATGATTTAATAATGAATTTCTATCCCCAAACAGACAATGGTGGAACTGGGGCTGCTATTGTAAATGTAACAATATCTGCTGTTCTGTCCCTTTTAAATAAACAAATCATTGGAACAGGAAATTGCCAAAAATAAGGATTAATGAAGCATTTGTGTATGTTGCTTCTTTGTCCACATGTATGCAGAACAAACAGCAGTTCATCAAAAGGGCAGGTTTTGGGCTGTCTTCATGTGTAATGGTAGTCAAAACTTACAGCACAAGCTTCCTGAAAGAGTGTGTTTTGATGGTTAGTGAGGGATAATTACAGATGAGGGCTCAAGTTATTTTCTGAAATCTGGGGTTTCTGGCCTGAACAACTTCTGTGAGCTTTAGCACTAACTGTATAAGGCTGTTTAGAGTTTGATGTTTAGGCTGCTTCTACAAAGTTGCTCATTTTCCCTAAAAATAACAAGACAACAGTCACCAATTATTGTATTTTGTGTGGCCATATCTATTTCACTGACATGATGTGCATCTGTGAACAGCTGTCTCCCTGCGGCTCTCTCATCACATATTTGTGTGACTCAGGTACAACTAGTGACACAAGCGCAAATAAATGACGACTAGTCTTCAGGGTTTATTTAATTTGTCTTCTTTTTTATATAGAAACTGTAACTGACACTTTGTAATTCAACTGAAGAAAAGGCTCAATCACTATTCATCATAGCAGCTTCTGTTCACTCAGTAGCCAAACATATGGAGATTTAGTTACTGTATTACAATAAATTTTACCCTGAACTGTTTTGATTTGATATTGGATATTTCAGTAAATAGTAGTCAACTAAATCCTCATAAGGGGAAGCCAATATTAATTAATGACCTGTTACATTGTTTTTTGAAACAAATTTGGAGGCACAGAACATTAAAATGTTGGTTATTATGTTGACAACTGAGGGAAATACTTAATAAAATGAGTCACATTTTAAACGTAATATTTAATTTTAATTTGTCACTGGCACATGAAAGGAGAGGGACCAAACCTGAATTTCCAGTCATGAGCAAAAGTTAGTATTTTCCTGGCAGTGGCAGAGCTTTGTGCCCGAGGGCAAACCGCTAAACTCTCACCTCTCCGCGCGCACTGCCAAACTCGAGTACATCAGTGCAGTTCCTCTGAAGCCAACGGGAGCAGAGCAGCCCGAGGGAGTCGTTGTGGGACGCAGGGAGGGGGTGAAGCGGGGTGTTTGAAGGGCAACAGCGCCGTAGTAGACCAGCCCACATGTGCGTGTCGAGTCCTGCCCTGCTTCGTTCCCACATCACTCCCCTCTCTCACTCACATGTGATTCTGATCCCTCCGAGGTGACACGCTCCGTGCGGATACCTTCTCCAAAAGGTGCGTAACTAAAACTTCTTTTTGTAGGCCTGTTAGACCTATATTTTGCACTTAAAGATAACATTTTTGTATCAGCAAGATACTCTTGCTCTCTAAACATCATACTGACTATAGTGTAGAGTAGAAAATCAACTTAAATTGCTTGTGTCCTTGTGCGTTATAATGCTTTAAGCGAATTTCTGTCTAACCCTTATGTCTATATTATGGTGACAGTGGTTGGCATAGCAGAGTGGAAATGGTCCTGTTGTTAAAACTTCAAGTTAAGTTTACTTAAGTAGCTCGTGTCATGTCATCTAATTAATGGAACCATCTAATTGGCTTGATCCGTATGTGTAAACAGCTTCTAAACATTCAGGGACAAACGACAATTTCTAATCACGTCAAATCGTATGTACTTTATTTTTAACTTCATGAATATATGATCTATCAACGCAGCTCATGCCCAGTGTGTTATTGTTTGGTTATAATGCAGTGACTTGGCCTCTTTGGTAATCTAGCCTACTTGAATATGAAATAGCTTCTGCAGTCTATATATGCTTTTTGCAGAATTGTGGAAGAGCATTAACTTTAAGTTGTTGAAATCTGACAGTTTTTTTTTTTTAATTGTTATTCTTTTTTTATGAATTACCGTTGGACTAAAATTAATAGTGTAAATATTACTTTGCATTGAAAGTGTAAAAATAAATAAGCCTACTATTTAGAAATGACTCACTTGAGAATTTCTATTGTTTCAGAGTGGAAATTTAACTTTCTAATATGTCTCCCAACAGCTCAGCTTTTACCGCCCCCTGCTGCAAAGCTCTGGCAGTGGAGACATCTGATTTGATAATCCTCCAACTTCAGGACGCTCAAAAACAAGGCTCCACTTTCTCAGCAACAACTGACTTTCTGACAATGAAGACATTTCTCCATCCAGTAACTTTATGACAATTGGATTCTAATTTCTGGTTTCAAAAGGAAACATTGAAAGGAACTATTTATTTTTTTTGGAAAATAATGGCAACAGATGCCTTCCATTCTCCATATGCTGCTGTCCCTCCATCTGTGCAACCCATAACTCCATCCACCAGGAATTTTCTTAAAATGTTTGGTGATTATCAGAGCAACGATGTTATCATTGAGCACTATAACTTTACAGGCAAACTCAAGGAGAATAAATATAAAGAGGGCTTGAAACCAGAAGCCATTGCATTTTTGCTGGTTTGTTTGCTAATTGTGCTTGAGAATGCCATTGTTCTAATTGCATTATGGAGAAACAAGAAGTTCCATGTTCCCATGTATTACCTCCTGGGAAACTTGACTCTATCTGACCTGCTAGCAGGCTTTACGTACATGGTCAACATCATCACATCTGGTGCCAACACTCTTAGCATGACTCCTCTACTTTGGTTTTTAAGAGAAGGTGGTGTCTTCATAATGCTAGCTGCATCTGTCATTAGTTTGCTAGCCATTGCAATTGAGCGACACGTTACCATGGTGAGGATGAAGCCATACCAAGGAGACAAACAAGGTCGAATGTTTGCCTTGATTGGTGCAAGTTGGGTGCTGTCTATTTTCCTTGGAGTTCTTCCCATACTAGGATGGAACTGCATCGGAAAACTAAAACAGTGCTCCACAGTTCTTCCCCTTTATGCCAAAAGTTATATTCTTTTCAATATAACAATTTTTACAGCTATACTGATGTCGATTGTGGTCTTATATGTGAGAATCTTCCGCATCGTCAAGACCAACACACAGCGCCTTGGTTCTGGGCCCCATCGAAAAGGACTGTACCGCAAGTCACAAAAGTACCTGGCACTACTCAAGACGGTTACAATCGTTTTGGGAGTTTTTATTGCATGTTGGTCACCCCTCTTTATCCTGCTACTTCTGGACTTTTTCTGCCCCGCTAAGAGTTGCCAAGTGCTGTTCAAAGCTGACTATTTCTTGGGAATTGCCATGTTCAACTCTCTCCTCAATCCAATCATCTACACACTGACGAGCAAAGACATGAGACGTGCCATTCTGAGGCTGCTCTGTCGACACTGCCTCCTCACCAAAGATGGACAAGTGAAGAAGATTGGCATCCCGTTTTTGGAGTGTAGCACCAGTAAAACTGATGCAGCCTCTCACAGGTTAGAAGGCTTGGAGACAACAGTGTCTTCTGGAAACTTCACACCGTCAACAATTAAAGCCATCTACCCCAAAATATCCAAATCATGACACCATCATGAGAACAAATAATGGACAAAACCACTTTTGAACAAGTTGCTTCTAAATTGAAAATGTGATTGAAGTAATATGCATGTTTACATGAAGTTGAGACAAAAAAATATTTTTTGTACATGTCAATAATACATAGGTTTTTTTCTAAGTTGGGTCAATTAAGTTTGATAATATTGACAATAAGCAAGAAAAATGGTTGAATGATACAGTAGTCCCACATTTCAGGCATGCTTAAATCTTCCCATTAATCTAATTTATGTAGCAATAGATTTTACTATAATATTGAAAGTGTGGCAAAAAGCATTCACATTTTCAAAGTCAGTATTTTAATAAAAGTCCAAGCAGTTGACATGATAATTGTGTGGTTGCAGGCGTCTGACATTAAAGCACACAGCAGCGTGTGTGTGTGTGTGTGTGTGTGTGTGTGTCCGCCTGACAGACTGGGGGTGAAGGCCAAAGAGACATTTATCGTCCCTGCCTATCCTTCTGTAGCATATAATCACACGTTGTTAGCCATCACAGAGTATCCACACCCAGAATGTGCTGCCAAATCTGTAATCAAGCCATGCGAGTGTTGGTCAGTGGTGGGCAGGGTGCAGTGCTGGTGGTGCAGCTCTGGAGGTCCACACAACATATGTAGCAGCACATGATGAATAAAAGTAGCATTAGACATGACAGCCAGGGCTGTGACGCCTATGGACCACAATATCACATATGGGCATTTCATCTTCTACAAAATACTATATTTCCCATTGACTTCGATGAAGCTAAGTGGGTCTGCAGTTTTACTGTGACTTGTGACATGATAATTGTGTCTTCTGTATATAAATGTAAAATATATAAATATTATTTACTGTCTCATATACATAGTATTGTACATATGTGTAATCTTTTTGTGTTTTTCATTGTGGCATTTGTATTATTAAATACTCTTAAGTTATGGTTTCAATTTTATACTTGCACTGAATAAACAATACAATAGTATGTGAATCATTTTTAAACTAATTTTGTTGCGTTTTTTTTTTTTTTTTTTCCTTTTATGTACAATATACATCGATTCAGTCTTTACTAGTGCACACACTCAGTATGCGAACAATTAAGTTTCACTCTTATTTTTGAATCACTAAAGATTTTTAACATTATCTTATGCTTTGTGTTCTTCCTCACATACGTAAGTTACATCCAGTTAGACTTAATTAAATGTAGTTAATTAAAGGGTCTGATGCTAAATACCTTTACCCAGCAAGTAGATCACTGTAGTTTAATTTCACATTAAAGACTCTTTCTAAAAATAATATTTTGTATATAGTGATTCATCTACATTTGTTTAATGTAAATTATAGCAAACTAAACAATTTATGCCAAAGTTAATAAATAATGGTCTTGCGTTCTCCTTGCCTTTGGTAAATCTTCCCATTTGTTATTTCTTTTGTTATTGATATTTCATAGGTAAAACTGTATTGATAAATAACTAAATCACATTTCTGAATTTTGTTCTAAGAAATATTGTCAATTCAAGTGCTTGTTTAATAATAGTAAAAATAAATTAATAAAAAATAATAAAACGTTTAAAAAAAATGCATTCATATTTTTGAAGGCCAGTATTTTGAAGCAGAGTACATATTTCTCTGGTTGCAAGCATGTGACATGAAAGCTCCTGACTGAAAATGAGCATTATCCTTCTGAAATAAATATAAATATTTCTGTGGCATCAAGGAAACAATAGACAATAACTTTTCCCTCAACTGTCAGCTGCCTGATTGTTTTTGACGTGTGTTTTTTTAATTCTAGAGCATCTTATAAACAAGGAAAATGGAATTTTCTAAATTTCTCATCATGACATTAATAAATGCTGACACAGACTTTTCTATGACTGCCAATTACAATGACACATCAGCATAATTAAATGTATAGGTCAATGAGGCCTGTGGTTTTGTGTTTAAATGACTGAAAACAGTGGTGAGAAAAACAAGTTCCACCTTGGCACACATCACTTGTAAACCGTACCGTGCACAGCAGCACAGCACCGAAATGAACCACAGAGCACCAGCCTTTCTCTTTCCTAAAGAGACCACAGCAAAATGCGCTGTTCTCAGAAGTGATTCTACCAGTCTGATGTCATTATGCCCACTCGAACTACTGCTACAAACAAGAAAAAAAAACTAAACCAAAACTAAATGTGTTCATAAATACCTTATATGCATCCTCAAAAAATCCTTAAACTATGATGTAAAAACCTCTTTCCATTCTGGCTTATTTTTCCTGAAACCTTTAACTAAAATGAGTCTTGATTCAATTGGAGCACAAATGACAAATGGTTGGACTCTGTCAAGGTGTTCAGCAGTTCTGACCTCTGTCTGGTCTACTTTAATGTAAATGGGAACTAGCTCTACACAGAGGAAAGTCAGAGTTCAAATTGTGCCTGAATTATTTGGGATAAATATAAGAATAGGTAAAACTGGTGTCCCTGGTAGACAACAGACTGAGCATTTGTTTGGTCTTGACAATCCCCATTACAAAGCTGAAGCATATTCACTAAAATGAGATTTAGGGACTTATAAGTAATCCCTAAAAGAAGGCCATGCAGAATTAATACAAAAGTCCTATTCAAATTTGGTGCTTTTTATTATTATTTTTTTTTTTGAGTTTGGAATACAAACTAGTTCAGATTCTTTTCAGAATGGTTGATTCGACTGAAAATAAGTGGGTTACAGATTTCCATTAATGTTTTTCATGAATCACTGAACCACTGCGACATCTAGAGGCCTAAACACGATAGTACATTTTGGATTCATCCTATTCTCTGTAATACACGTTACAATGTGTACTATTTAAACAGCTTGCTGAACAAATTTCTATTTCAAAGCTGAACTACCTTTGTTAAAAATGAGATGACTTTGAATAATATTGGAAAGAGATATTTATTACAGATATATAAATGATGTTGACATAAACAACATAACATAAAAATGACAAACATGTAAAACACATAAAATAGTTCCTCTTCTTCTTATCTTCTAGTAAAACCTCTTCTACCATTCAGAGTTGACAAAGCTCCAGAGATGGTCACTTACTTCTCCTGGAGATTGGCTGGACTTGTCTATATGAATGGGACTGGCCAGCTCTGCCCCATAGTGCACTACAAAACATATTAGAATACCAACATTATCAACAGGCAAGGGGTACAGACATGTTTCAATTATTCAAACTACCTCCTTTGAGAATGTGGGGCTCTGTGTCGTACTCCCACTTGATCTTGGTTATCAGGTAATACAATTTTGCAACATAACTGAGGAGAGAAAGGGGGGAGAAAACAAAGTTGTAACACTGAATCTTTTGGGATTTGGTAACAATCACATGTGCTGTAATACACTCCACAATCAACCATCATTTAAATGTATAAAATATGCAGCCTGAAATTTTTTTAAAGGAGCACTGTGTCTTTTTTTTTTTTTTGGTGGATGGTCCGCCAGTGTTTGTGGTCACAGAAATGTTGTTATGACTGGAATATTCTGTTGTATGGTGTTAGTTCTACCTATCTCCATGGGGACAAGCAGGTGCTACCACAAGAACAAGTTGCTGCCCTATATTTTGTCTTTTTATATTGCATTTGTGTCTTTAGAGCATCTGTATATTTGTCAGCTACAGCCATAGGCATGTTTTTTTACACAGAAATAACTCAGAAATGCCAGGAAAGGAACAAGAGAATAATCAAAAGATAATATGCATGTATGGTAATAGTTTAAGAGGACATATTATTGTGCATTGAGGAAATAGCCGTAACAAAAAAATAAATGAAACATTTAAAGACAAATTTGTCTTACATAGATGAAGGGATCACTTCTGTGGTGTCTTCATCCACCTCATTCTGTAGAGTCTCCAGCTCTTGTTCATTGTTCAGTAAGTTATCAAACTCCTTTTGAAGAAACCTGTTTGAGTGTGTTAAAGAAATAAAAAAAAAAAAAGAGTAGCTTTCCCATAAGAATCAAAATTTTTCCCCCCACATTGATTGATCTCGATTTTTGATTCGATCTTCTACCATCTTATTGAAAACATAGACATGTAGACTTCAGGCATAAAAGCAGAGTGTCAGGACCACTACAGTTTTTATTTCTTGTTGATGGGACCAATAATTCCAGAGAAATTCACATTTAAAAGGTTGGAATGCATTTGTGAAATGTATTAAACTTAAAAACATACATACATTTCACTCATAAATGGTGAGAAAACACTCGTTTACTTTTGGTACTTGGATTATAATGATAAGAAGCACAAGGGAGAAAGAGGAGAAAAGGTGAAGAGCTAGATCAGAGAGGGAGGGGGAGCTGGGCAAAGTCAAATTGTCATAGTCATAGTCAAATTGTGCAGATTTAAGTCAAAACATGTGAACTTGTAGAAGACAAAGGGACACACTGTAGCTCAGGCTGCTTTTTCTTAAACAAAAGCATCAGCCTCGTCAGCATGACGCGCTCTTACAGCCACATGATTGGCTGTTGATAAACAGATATTTGAAGGATACTGTAGCTCGGAGTCTGTAATCTGGCTCTTGGCTGTACACTGCCTCAGCTGTTCCTCTAGACTGTTACACTCCTGCTCCCTTCTCTTCTGTTCCTTCTGCATGTCCAGCAGCCTCTGCCCAGCACTCTCCTCAATCTGGGCCACCTCTGGAGAAAAATAATAATCATTGTAGCCATTTCTGTTGAACTTCATTCATACTGGCGCCTTTTAACACACTCCACAGTAACAGACAAAATCCACAAATAATTGTACTGACACACCTCTTTAATAACTGCAAATATGCTGCAAACCACAAATATTTAGGGATGGGCCACATATCTGTTCCAATTTTGGTATCAGTGATATTGAAGGGTTCTCAGAAAACAGTATTGGCACACTTATTTTAAAATGTATTTAACCCAGATATGTTTTAATTTTCCATTTGATTTGTCTTTTTGAACAGACTAGTGAGAAAAATGGAAATAGAAAAGCAATGTGGCAAAAGGTATGGCTATAAATTTTAACAACCATGCAACAAATATTTTATATTCCAGATAAATACATTTTGTTTGGTAGGCCTGTCACAGTAATTACTATATTCAAAATATGATAACTGGAATAGTATATTTTTGGGTTCAATATTTATCGTGTTTACTTTTTCTCTGTAATAATGGTGAGAGTTTGGTTATTTTAGATGTTATAAGATTTGAGCTGTAGATAGTTGAATAAGTAATTTCTAGTATATCTAATAATCAGTTCATTCTGCTATTTGATTGTTGCAGTGCATGCCTTTTAATGATACTATCTATTTAAATACTGGTGTACTGAAATTACCTTGCATTATTGTTATTGTGTCAGTAGCATAAAGTAGTTTCAATATTATCGTTTATATATGTCTGTAGCAATATATTGTGCTTCAGAATTTGTTATTGTGCCTATTGTTTACCTATTTGTCAGCAGCAAGACAAATATGTGATATTTTGTTTGTTCTTTTGTTTAAAACATCAAATAAATAAATAAAAATATCTTACAGGGATGGATTTATTATAAGCCATAGTACATAATGAAAAATATGGTCACTTGCCCATTAGAATCTGTGTGACAGTCTTCTTTGTTTCTGTGTGTCGGTCATACATCATTTGTTGAGCATCTTTGACCCCTCGGAGTTTGTGGAGCTCACTGCTGTTGATGAAGTCCACCAGAGCTGCTCCCGTCTCCTCCAGATCCTGAAACTTGTGTCCCTGGGCCATTCCACTTCTACTGACAACAGAGAGACAGGAAAAATATGTTAAAACAATTGTCAGGAAATATGGATTCAATCCAAAAGCACAGTTAATGGTTTGGTGAACTTGATCTAACCATTGGCATATTTAACCAGTTAACGCTGAAATCAATCATAACTAATACAATTTGCACGCCAGACAGAAAGGGTTAAGCAAGTTATGTGTCACGTTGTAAAATCGTTGATGCTTATTCTAGTGTGACCAGAATTTCAAAATAAAAAACTGTGACATCAATGTGGTTGGTAATAATAAAACTGTGATAAGAGTGCGCAATTAAGGAAAATTGCAGGGACCATTCATAACAAACATGTGAGTCAGTATAGTCACATTTTCTTTGTCTTTTGGTTGTTTTTAAGCAGATTTTTTTGTATTTCACCTAAACAAATTACATTTTATGCTTCTCTTTACTGTTGTCAAGGATCAAATTAGTCAAAAATAGGGACATCTGGGACATTTCTTGTATAAAACAAGGACAAATCACTGGTTTTGGATGAATCTGCAGGGACAGGAGACACAGGGCTCAAAACTGGGACTGTCTCGGGTAAACAGGGACGTCTGGTCACCACAGCTTATTCTTTAAAATTGCCAAATTTGTGCCGAAATTCTTGTGCGACCTATTTGGCAGATGCCGAACGCTGCCCTCGAGCATTGTTTACCTTTTGAGAATCGGATTACAAAATGCCACTAATGAAATGGGAACTAACTTAACCCATACGGGCGTTTTGCTAATTTTACATTTACCAAATAGCCTTTAAAAAATCGCAGACTGGACAAAATAAGAAAAACTACTCACTTTACTGTTTTTGTCTTGATTCAAACGTACTTCCTGATCGCGCCTGTTCTCTTCTTCTATGACGGACACCAGACGCACGAGCGTAGCGCGCCATCTGCTGGACTGGACCAGCTACAACTCATTTCTTTCTGAATCAAGTGATTTTCCTATTTGCAAATGTTCAGTTAATTATCCCACTGGAGAAAACATGTAATGCCGAATGAGGATCAAATAAAGTTTCTTTGTCATAAAGATATGAGCACTGCCTGATTTAGATTTACTCCTAACCTGTGATGTAATCAGGCTAGAAGCTGCTGTATTTACACCAATTATTCTAACAAAAAAATTATGTATAGTAATACTGACTATTTAGAGCAGGAGTGAGCAATTATTTTTTCCATGAGCCACATGAGAAACAGAAAATTTAGTGGAGGGCTGAACCAAAATGCTTACCTCAGTTCTGTATAATATTGTATTTCTTTATAAAAAGCAGTAAGTAGAGTGTATATTATGACTGAGCAATGAAAATGAGGTTGCCTTACAAAAAATAAGTCATAAAAACACCTCTAAAATAAGAGCAATGCAGCTTTAGTCCATGCATGAGGTAAAATTATAAAATATGTTTATTTTGTAAATCCAAATTAGCTTAAAATGGGCCAGCCAGAGTCAACCAAAGGGACGTATTTGGCCTGGAAGGTGGTCAAGTGAATGTGCATAAGTAAGAAGCTAGAAGATAAAATACACGCATACACTGTACTAGTCATGTATGATATAAAAGGGAAACATATTCATCAATGTTTATATTTTATGCTGTCATAAAAATCAACTGTTATCAACTGAATAAATTCATATAAAAATCTTATAGTACATGATTTAAAGTTAGTTCCACACTAGGTTCACTCCGTTCATGTACATAACACCAGTCATGAGTCTTTCTTTTGCTGCTTTTCCTTTTTTTGCTGCTCCTTGCGTCTTTGGCGGCCCAGCTGTTTGAAGTACAGTCTCTTGGGGTTGAGCCCGTAGGACTTCAGTCTTTGTCGGCTGAACTCTCTCCCTCCGATCTTAAGTCCAGACGCAGACAGGAGCGATAGACGTCTGGGCTTCTTCTTGACACATTTTAATCTGTCCTTTGGCTTTGGTTTCATTTCCTCCCCTGCTTCCTCTGCCTCCACAGGGACTTTCTGTTCAGTCTCTGTATGTCTCTTCTTCTTCTTCTTGGGTATCAGGACCTCCTCAGGCTCCTCTTCCTCTGCGGTTACGCTTAAAGTGGGAGCAGGTGCAGACGTGTCCCCTTCTTCAGCAGCTCTGTCTCGTTTCTCAGAGTTCTTGAGGCGATCTCTACGTTTTTTGCCCATTTTACCTTTAGCCTCAGCCACTTCTTGCTCCTCCCTGTGGACATTTGGATAAAAATCTGTGTTCAACTACAGTTTTACATTAAATCCTAATTTGAAGAAGAAAATATACTCACTGTGAATATACTGAACCAAGAATCTCCTTTTTCTTCTTTTCATTTCGAGCTTTGATGCTGTAGTTCTTTAAATCACTCAGCTCTTCTTTTTCAGACCTTGGGAAGACACAACGTTGAAGTTAGACCAAAATTGTATTTATGGTTATATTTCTTTCAACAATGTAGACTCTCTGAGACTGTCATACCTAAACATGCAGGTCTTCTTCAGGGAGCACCACTGGTTCAACTCCTTGTCATTAGCATTCAAAATCTGAATGAAGAGCAAAATATTTTTCACCAGGTATTGTACACTTCTGTCACTTTCAGAATGGGACTGTCTGGGTTAAGCTCAGAGAGAAGATTAAACATTTGAGATCATGTCCTGGTCAGAGCAGAGGACAGCAATACCAGGTCAGTCTCTGCATACTCATCACTGCCATTGGACCATGCAAGAGCTAAGGTTATGTAGGAATTAAAGCAATGCATTTTTCATTAACTCAAATTCCTTGCCTCGCTCCAAATCTTTCTTGTTTAGGTGCAACACATATTAGTAGTCTTCAGTGAATGAAATGTATGAAATGTTGGAGAACAACAATTTTAGAATATATTTTATGCCAATTATCACAAAACATGGACTTGATGTATTTCTCACCTCATCAGTGGTCAGTCCAAAGTCATTTGCCACTACGTTCCTGTACCGAAACCTGCATGGAAGGTCATCAATAATATCTTCATAGTCCAGCTTATAGTACTCATCCAAGTACTGTTCAAAGGACTTCTCCTCTACAACAGAAATATACTTGTAATACTTGTCTTTTCATCACATCTTGTTTCCATTAGTAGTAAGACATACTTGGGTCAAATACTGGTTTGCTTTTTGTGACAACTTCTGCAAAGTGGGACTTCTTTTTCTTCTTGCCCATCTGCGGCATGTCCTCCCTCTTTAGCTTCTGCCTCTCCTTTTTCTTCTGCTTTTTGGATATGTGTTGGCTTGGGTCATAGTCCGCGTCCATCTACAGAGCAACAAGTTTATAAATAACAAAACTCAAATATGTTTTCGATGATTAGTGGACATGTGACTCACGACAAAGCCCTCGTCATCACAGTGTGGCTCATACTGCCCCTCTTCACCATAGTCTTCATACTCTTCATCCTCTCCTCTCTCTCCGGTCCATGTATCCCAGTTCCAATGCTCTGGTTTGCAAATGACAGATTTAAGTCTAATTTTATCTACATAAAATAAAAAATGTATGCATTGTACTGACCCTCAATCTCTTCGTCATCATCAAACTGAGGTTTCTCATCTTCCTCTCCCCCATAGTACTCGTCTCCGAACACTTTCTGCAAATTAAAGTCAGATGTTATTTATAGTAAGGGAAAGTTTAGATAAACGGTACACAAAGACAACACAGAAGTTAATAATAAGAATAATAAGAGATCCCAAAGCAACGTTGCTGTTTGTAGTAATATGCATAATTTGCACCTGCATGAGCTGGTCATGTTTTTGAGGATCAAAGTCTCCATCCAGGTCGTCCACACTGAAGGCCAGCTGTTCATTTCCTGTTAGCTCCTGTAGCCTCTTCAGCTTCTCCATTATCTCACTACGCTTCAGGTTCTTCAACTGCTTCAGCTGCTCTTGCTTCTGTTCTTTTTCCTGTCAATTATAATTAGTTAAAATATGAATCTTATATTAGGGTAATCACAACCATTACATCCAACAATTATGTCTTCATAATCAAAATTTGCATTGTTGAATAGTTTTCTATGTGCATACTCTTTTTTCCATAGATGAAAGAGTACTTTTCCACCCACAATAAGGCATAGGATTCAAATTAACACGTACCCTCTTCTTGCGCTCCTTCACCTCCTCTCGCTTGCGTTTTCTGCTGTCGTCTTTTGAGCGCACAGATGTGCCGATGTTGCGAGGATATGTTTTGATCTCTTGAGAATCAGGCTCTTCAAAACGAAAGTTGTAACTCCTCTCAAAGTCTTCCTGTCGCTCTAGGAAGCTCTCTCCCTCCTCCTCAGAGTCCTCTACCTCGTCCTGGACCAGCTCATCATATGTGGGAATCCTAACCACAACAGTACAGTTTCAGGTTAGTAAGGTTTCTTTATAAACACTGAAGTCTTCTAGTGGACCTACCGATCCTCATCTTCATCTTCTTCTTGATAACCCTTGTTCAGGACATAGTCTCTGAGGAAACGCTCCTTCTCATCCAGCTCAGGGTCATTCCAGTAGTCTCGCAAATATTTCTGTCACAACCACAAAATGTTTTTGTTACAAACAGACAATTTGTACTGTAAAGCTGAGTTGAAAATGTTCAACTCTGGTGTCTGAAGAACCTGAGAACACTTGCACTCTCATTTTCAAATTGGCAATATTGACAACTAACTTCTGAGTTCCTCACCATGTCCGTCACCTCCTCTTGGTCGTCGAGCTCGGCTTGGCCTTTCAGCCACTCCACATAATCCGCCTCTTCTTTATCCTACGTACAAATCATAGTAATAAGCATACTGTGTAGTTTTTTTAAAGACTGGGTATTCTGTGCAAATGCAATTCAGACCTTTTCCTCTTGTGTTTTGATCCTTCTGGTCAGCAGCTCTGAGACGCCATCTTCACCTGCCTCCTCCTCATTATCACTGTCCTGGATGAACTTGCGAAAACTAAGGATAATTTTTAAATTTCCATTTAATATCATGATTTTAAGACTTATATCAACACACTTTACCTGCTTACCTTTCCTTTAGCTCCTTTTGTTCTTGAATGTAACTTGGAGAAGCTGCTCTCTGTGGTGAAAGAGACAATATAAAAAGTCTTTAAATAAATTTTTAATCTTTAAGTTTATAGTTATTCAAAACATTTGAAACACACATAAGACACACAAACATACCTCATTTCTCTTAACAGCTTCCTCTTCGTCACTTTCATCATCATCTTCAAATTTGCTGTAATAAAAGCATGCGTAAGATGAAAAATGCTGCGAATAAGCTACATGAGCAGACCACTCACCCCTCTCTCTCCAGGATGACTTTCCGCTCATAATCTTTTAAATACATAGGTTTCACTGCTTTCTTTGAGGTTGAGGGTTTTTCATCGCTAGTGGATGGAGCTAAAGAAGAGGCATTGTACATTAAACAAATGTCCTGGAAGGCATGTAATTGGAAAAAGGAAAATACTTGATGTTGCTCTCCAAACTTACCTTCGGAGTAAAATTTCACATCTTTCTCGTAGATTTTTGGGTCTTTCTTTTTCAGCAGTGATAATGTTCTATAAAAATCCCTCTCCAGCTCTGGGTCAAGTTCCTAAGGTTAGACAAAATTGATAATGACAATCCATAATATGCTTAGCTACTAATATGTTCTGGCAACACATGGGATTCTGTTGTGGATAGACAGATTTTATACATTTTAATTACAGACTAAATGAGATGATTCACTGTCATTGCTCACCACTTCACTGTCGTCTGAGCTGGATTCTGAGGAGGATTCACTGTCTTCATCTCTGTCTCCGAAACGATCCTTCACTGCAAAACACGATTGCAACTATATATCAACCAGATTTACATGCTAACCAAAGTTGCGCTGTTCCCACGTTGTGTTATTAGCCACGGTAAGCTAGCGGCTGCAAACTTACGCTTCTGTAGCTCTTCTTTCTGGCGATATTTGTCATATCTTTGCGCAAACTG